CATTTATAGCTAAATGGCTGCATATGGAGGCCATACTCTTAAGTGAAATAAATAGGACACACATGTGTAAATACCGAATAGTTTCTCTAGTGTAAGAAATTGAAAGTGTAAATAAGGATGAAAATGATTTAAATGAATAATTGATAATTTGAAATAGGAAAAAAAAGTCCAAAGACGAAGGAGTGAAGGGAGGGGAAGGGGAAAGGAAGAGAGGGAAAGGAAAAACTATGAGAAAAGAAAAAAAATGGAAATGATGTCTGTGTAAATAGGGAAGGCGGGAGGGGGTGAAGGGTGCACAGGTAATGGGGAAAAAAATAAGAACCAAGATATATCATGTACAGGTACAAACACCCAATGATAATTGTAAATGAATTGTATACCTAAAATGTACCAATAAAAGAACTAAAAAAAAATATTGTCCTCCCTCACATGCAGAAGTATGTTGAATACAATCTCTCAGGAGGAGAAATTCACTGCTTTCACATACTTGTGGCTCTACCTCACAAAAGATTCCTTATCCAGTACCACACCAAGAAATAAAGTTCCTTTGGTTTCAGATCATTGTTTGACTTCCAAATTATTTGGAAGTTCTAGTTTGAAGAATGGAGAGAGACTTACTATTTTACATCTTAATTGTGTCATAGGTCTTAAATGGTTTAGATGGGAACCTGTTTCACTTGTGCCATAGAACTTTGTGTGTTTTTAAACATAAGATACAAGAACTAATGTTTGCAGCTATCTTTGTATCACCAGGATGCCTGGATATAAAGAAAGTTTACAAAAATTCCTGAACTTGTTTATACTTTCACTCCCCTACAGTGAGAAAGAGCAGCAAGTGATTTAAACTACCTCTATTGTCATTAATCCAGTACATATGAGCTTTACTTATATGTTGATTCTTTGTAGCCATTTTGGGGCTCATGCATCTTCTATACCTCTTGCCTACATGTAAGTTTGCATTTTGGGGGTTTTTTTTGGTTCTGTGGATCAAACTTGGGTCCTTCTGCTTTCAAGGCAGGTGGCAGAACCACTGAGCTAAATCCTTGGCCCATCTTGCCTACATATAAGTTTTTAAAGAACTTTTTGTGGGGTTTTTGTTTGTTTGTTTTTTGTACCAGGGATGGAACTCAGGACTTTGCCCTCACAAGGCAGGCATGGTGCCGCTGAGCTAAATCCCTGGCTTAAAGAACTTTCAAACACACATTTACATGTTACTACCAGATCAGTGTGTAATTTAATAGTCAACTTTCACAAAGAAATGATTAGGCTAATTGGGATTTTTTAATAGTGCACTTTAGGGAACCATACATATTGACAGAAAAAAGACATGCAATCTAAACTGTGACAATAGCATCCCTTGGATAACTGAATTTTAAAACAACAGAAGAATTGAAGCCTTCCAGAGTTGGTATCAGTTCTTTTAATTCTGCATCAACATACTTCTACCTTGGAGCATTTTTTTTCTCAATTTGAATAACCACCTTTACCTGTGAAACTATTGAGTACTAATAAATTCAGCTCACCATTGAGCTCCTTACATGGTTAAGCCTTTTTTATGATGTAAGTTTTTCATAAATCATAAAACAGTAATGCCCTTTCTGCATGAGAGCTCTTAAGTGGCATAAATTAGAGCCTAAAGTCATTTAATAAAAGTTTCTCTTTAGTTTAATTGGTGCTATTAGAAATAACCCAACTTAGAAGACAGACCTAAGTTATTTTCCCCCAATTTGTAACACAGAAATGTGGCAATGGACAAGAATATCAAAGATTGGTGAACATTTGTGGCCAGTTTTATTTTTGCATTCACTTTCCTGCAATAAGAAAGGGCTACACGTGATTTAAAGATGCCTCTATTACCCAGATTATCAGATTTGAACTCTGTGTAAGAACAATTAAAGGGTGTTAGAGATTGGAGTCTTAATCACCTGGGCTGTTATGAGAGAGTATTCTCAATTACTTCAAGATTTTGAGGAAGGAAAAAGCAGATACCCTACTTGAGAGCCTCCTGCTGCACTGAACATTGTACTGGGAAACACTTCATGTTCATAGTCAGATCTGCAAGCATTCTTTTCAAATACTTGAATTCATCCCTTTAGTAATGTCCACTGTTCACAAGCCAGGACACTATTATAAAAAGAGTAGCAAATCCTTCACAGGAAAAAGAATAGCAAAGTGCATGGTTTGCATCATAATAATAAATTCCTTGTGTTCTCTAACAAAAAATAACACCTTTTGGTTATGTGTTCTAAAGGAAATCTGATTGGGGAACAGATTGCTTAACATTAAAATCAAGATTTCTCTAATGTTGGCAAGTATTAATGCTAACATAATCAGACTAAAATTTCAATAAAAAACAATATGAATTTTTACCAAGACAAGGCTAAACAATTCCAGTGGTATTTTTGTAAAAGCATGTTTAAGGTGTATAACAAAGTCCTCTTCCACATTCAAGAGGAAATATGTGCTAAATTGGCTATGTGGAAAGGGAGTCTAGGTGACTAAAACATTTGGTATTAAGCCAGGAGATTTCCTACTTACAAAGTACAAGCTTCCACAGAAGGATCTTACTTAGATTATATGCTATTGGTGAAAAAAATCCATTGTTGAAATGTGTCACTTTGGACAAATATGGTCAGATTAGAACTTGTAGTGTGTATGGATAAGATGGTCATACTAGCGGAAATTATCAGGGTTTACAGTGTAAGTTGCTTTTGTGATTTGTATGTATGTTCTAGGGTTTAAAAAATTCAGAGATATCAAAATCACCATTTTATATATAATTATTTGATAAGCATAGCAAGTTATGCAATATGATTTCAGAATCAGACTAGCAAGTTTACATATATTACGTGTATTTCAAAATAGGAAAAATTTGCTTGTTTTTTTTGGTACCGGAGATCGAACTCGGGTCCTTGAGCTTGCGCAGCAGGCGGCGAAACCACTGAGCTAAATACCCAGCCACAAATTTGCTAATCTTTAATGGAGTAACTTTTTTCACATTTTCTTTTTTAAAATTAGAACATATTTTCAATATATATATAATGACTATTTCATTGTGGGTATTTGGTATAATGGAGTAACATTTTTTTCACATGTTTTCTTAAAGCATTAATCACTATTGCTAGCTTAACTTTTTATGAGCATGGTCTATAAATCCTTTGCACTGGCTTTCCTTAGTGAAGGTAGTTTGTCAAAAAAGGCCATATTTCCAACAAATGTCTATTGATTATGAGTTCTATGGTCTATTCTTAATTGTCCCTCAGAATTATTTAATTACCAGTGAGTCATTTCACATCTTCTCACTCCATTTCCCAGAGACCATGTTATGACTACATTATAGGCATGAATTTTACCATTAATACCTCTGGTAGATTATTAGAAAAAGCATAACTTTAAAGGAATTGTACTTTCAGGACATAGGTCATTTCATATAGACAAGGAAGGAGAACAGACAGTTAAATTAGGATGTATCAGGAGTAGACTTATAGATATGTACTTCCTTGAATGCCCCATCACTGTATTCAGATGCAAGTGTTCTTTATCTTGGAAAAAATAACCCTCTTCCACTACATAATTGCAAGTAATTATCTACTACATACAAAACATTTCTTCAATGATTCTAAATGAAAAAATTCTTAAATCTTAGTATCTAACTGGTAAAGTCTCTAAAAACAGGAAAAGCAAAATTAACAGTTTAAAGGACAATTAGAATTGCTGAAGTTGAAGTAGCTCAATTTGAGTTAAACCATTATGTGTGTGTATGTGTGTGTGTGTGTGTGTGTATATATATATATTTTTTTTTTTGTACCAGGGATCGAACTTGGGACCTTGCACTTGCAAGGCAGGCAGCAGAACGACTGAGCTAAATCCCCAGCCCACCATTATATATTTTTAAAGTAAAATGGTTAAAATATTTTTAAGGTAAATTAATATATGTATATACAAAATTTAGACCTATTCGCTCAGGTACAGTTATACTGCGTATCTACTAGGATCACCTCCAAATATCATAACCCTAACAATTAAAAACAAAATCAGACCAAAAAAAAAAATCCCCAAACCCTATAGTGTTTATTTACTGTATAAAAACAGAAAGGGAACCATTACAAGGTGATGAAAAAAAGTTTATTCATTTCTTAATATTTTCAAATCTCATTCTAATGTGTGTTGACTTATGTATTTAAGAAAGTACATAAAAGACCTAAAGGGAGGAAAATTAACAATATTGTAATAGAGTAAAAGATTAAAATCCCTCTTATTTTTCCTTGGCTTCCAGTTTGATCCTGTCCAGGAAAACAGGTATAGTAAGCACTGTGCTTTCAAAAAATCTGCTTGCATATAATTAATCATATGATACTGTTGCCCTTAAGACTTTCTAGCAGGAGTTATAGGTTCCAGTCTGGCACTTCAGGTAATAATAAGTGACCAAAAAATACTTGAAGGTAAAAGTGAAAATGTGTCATATCTTCTGAGATTTCTTCAAGCTGATTGTCATCAAACTCTTTAGCTTAAAAAAATGTGAAAAAACTACCATCCTACTGTTTAAAAAAAGTACTCAAATGAACTACAAAATGGACTTGCTTGACAGGTTCTTCCATAAACACATTTAATATGAAATTCTTCATACTTTTAGTAAGGATGAGTAACTACAAGGATCTTTTACTCCATTATGTCCTGGTCTTTTATTTTGTGATGTGTTAGACTTTTGTTTAGACCATTTACTTAGCTGAGTTTAAAACATAATCTGCTTTAATTTCTCAAATTAGTACCAAAGAAAGTATACAGTTTATCCTAATTGTTAACATTTTAAAAACTTACACTCTATTCAATATTGTTTTTTAAAAAATAAGTTACTGTCATTTTGTAAATAGTGCGTACAAGGCACAAGAGCTTCTGAGTATACTTACTGAAGCCAAACATTTTGGCATCAATAAACACATTATTTTAGTTTATCTTAAACTAAATTTCCAAACAGTTCACCATTTAGTTCATATTGAGCTAAACTTCTAAAAGTGTATGATTTTTGTTTAATGATTTGCATAATTTAATCTTAATGGGTATTTGAGGAAAAATATAAGTGAACTGTCATAGTTTTAATGAGAATACAGAAATAATATAAATATCATTTCAAGGTTAATCCAACGATCCATCAGGAATTCCTATCAGAGATTTAATATTTTCACTATATTTAACAGGAGAAATAACCTAAAAAGAGATTTTATAAAAGCAAAACTAGGGCCGGGGATTTAGCTCAGTGGTTTTACCGCCTGCTGTGCAAGCGTAAGGACCCGAGTTCGATCCCCGGTACAAACAAAACAAAACAAAAAGCAAAACTAAAGAATATTATAAACAAATTTCATAATTGTTATCACAGATTTTACCCCCCTCTGTTTTAAGATTAGAAGAGATGAAAATACATTTCTGATGTAACAAAATTTGTCAAAACACTATATTAGTTCTGACAAAAGTTTTCTAGCCAATTGCTGTATCAGTTAGTTCAAGCTTCAATTTTACACTTATTTTCTAGCAGGGAACAAAGATTAGAATTAGAATGAAAATCTAGCAAAAATGTTTAGTGATCTTCAACTGTAGGCCATTTAGACTTTGTAATGAATTCACAGTTAACTACAGTTCACTTATAGTCTGAGGCCAGATTCACATCAAGGGGAGAAAAAAAATAAAGTCTGATTTTTTGACACTTTCTCTTAAAAGTAACTAGTAAGTTTTATAAATAAAGCCTAACATTATAATATGACTTTAAATCTTAAACAATATTAGTCTCAATTTTCTGAATCAGAAACTCAGACAATCAGTGGGCTTTCTATATGATAAACTATGCAACCCAAATCTTTGGGTAAAAATTAGCCCATGAATTTATTCCCAGTTTTTGATAGAATTTATTTCCCCTTTGATTCATAAGCCATAACTATGTTTAATACTTAATAGGATGCTGATAGTTATAACAATAAATGTGGTATGCTTTAAGCAAGGGCTAACTAACCAGTTAATATTCTGTAGATCCAGGGATGGGGATGGTGCTCAGTGGGACAGCACTTGCTTAGCATGTGCAAGGCCCGGGCACTATCACCAGCACTGGAATAAAGAAAGAAAGAAAGAAAAAGGAGAGGATTAAAAAAAAGAAAAGAGAGGAAAAAAAGAAAAAGAAAGCTTTGTATCCATCTAGCCAAATGAATATAGGAACAACTGGCCGATGGCACCTTCCTGTGGGAAGCCTCTTCCATTCTTCTACAGCACTGGTATCTTGAAATGAACAGAAAACATGAAACAAATTATTAACCATAAACAAACAAAAAAATCTAACTTCATTTATTATTTGTTGGAATAACTTACAGCCCTTGTTCAAAATTTTTTTATATGCTAGAAGGCTGGGTAGATGTGTTTTTGAATAAAGACCTCTAGCTAAAAAATAATGTGCATATACAAGTAGGATCTTACTGAAATCCATTTTAAGATGCAGGTTCTGACTCAGCAGGTCTGGTATGAGGCCTAAGTTCTACATTTCTATAGCTTCCAGGCCGTAGTCTGAATGGACTCTACATTGTTAGTTCTACATTCATCTGAGGCCAAATAGGGTTAGGAATGTCAAATGATTTGGAAGAGAGATTTAAGAAAACAAATTTCATACTTCATAAGCATAAGAACACAGCATTTTAAAATTTGTATTGTATGACAGAGTGTGTAAGCTAAATTTAATCTACTTTTTAGCACTACCATGGGTTTATAACTATCTGGAAACTATGCTGAACTAAGAATATAAAAAGGCCACAGAATGGGGTGGGGGTGGAGGTAGGGGTATGACTCATGACTAGCATGCACATGGGCCTGGGAACAGCTGCCAGCACCACAAAAACAAACAAATAATGAATAGATTCAAATGATCAAACATTATTTACTAATGTAGTACCAAAAGATATGAAGATATCATTCAGTAATATAAGCTCTTCAATCTTAGACATTCAATGTAAATGTGTATTAAATGAATTGCAAATCTAAGATGTAATGTAAAAAAGCTAGTATCTATTAGCTACCTTTAGAAAAATGTAACTAAAAAACAAAACATTTACTTCCAATGTTTATGTCTATTTAATTCAAAAAATTATGACAGAAAGTGACTTGGTAATGTTTTTGTTTGTGTAGCTGATTCATGCTGCTAGTTGGTTATTATAACTTCTAATGTCATATATACAAATGTAATAAAATCAAGCTTCTGTCAGATTAATTTTAATGTTATTTGATCACTTATCAAATGTTTATAGAGAACTTACCATGTATCTGGCACCTGGTAATGTGTTGGGAAGACTAATGAACAAATGCAACACTAGCCTGTGTCCAAATAGTGGGGAGTCTAGATGACTTTATCACTATGTGAAGATGTTAAATATCTTACACATACAAAAAAATGTTAATACTGACTTCACAAAGAATAGTAACCATCACTAATGATTTGAAATATTGAAAAAAAAATCCTGTGAAATTATATGTTTTATAGAACTATTTCTGTAAAATATTTTATTTGTAATATTGGCTAAAGGTTCATATTTATACATTCATAGCTACCTTCTAAAGATTATTTCCAGGAATTTAATACTGTTTATTTGCTATTTCACCAAATTCAGAAGAATAAATTTTTACTCTCCTAACCTAGTTATGATCAGTCTGTTCTTCTCTACCATCATGATTAAGAACTGATGATCCTGGTCTTATCAAAATCAAAATACCACTCAAGAGGCAAATTATCAGATCTGCTTTTGCTGTTAATTGCATGGCTATTCACCAAAACCAAAACCAAAGAAACAAATAAAAAATCAGATATCCACGAAGTACTTTGACTGAAATGATTTTTAGATGCAAATTCTCTGCTTCTCTTAGACTTTAGGATTCTAGGTTGCAGAATTTTTAAACACAGAGTTGTCCTAGGAACTTGAATGATCAACTCTTTATATTGTGTTTATTATAATGGTACAAATAGTTATTTTGTTTATTTAGATGTTTAAGTGGTTCCTTATATTTTTTCACTAACCACAGGTTTTAAACAGATTAAGGCAATTGATTTTGAACTATATAGGTTTAAAAAATTATAGTTTAACAAAAAATTACTTGGAATACCTATTATCTTAAGGTAACACATGATATAAGGTCCTACTGTGATCAGAATTGGGGATGACAGTGGTTTGTGCTAACAGGACACAATCATGTTATATTTGAACTCAGAAAGGTTGTGCTAATAGGTAGTCACAGACAGAATGACTGTATATCCTGAAGGACAAAATAAATAAATAAATAAATTCTGTGATCTTAAGAAATGAAAAATGACAATAATTTTCATGTAAAGTTCAATATTTAGCATGGAACCTGCCATTTAATGAATAAATATGCATTTGACTTTTTCATCAACTTATTTTCATAGTTTATCAAGTTCCTGTAAATATTAGCTATTGTTGAAGCTAGGTTCATGTCCAGAGGCCCCTCCATGATTAACGTGATTCCATAGTTCAAGTAAGACATATGAGTCACTCAAAAATAATGTTTATGGGCTGGGGATTTAGCTCAGTGGTTCTGGCACCTGCCTCGCAAGCGCAAGGTCCCAAGTTTGATCCCCAGTACCAAAAAAGAAAAAAAAAATGTTTATGAAAACAAGCCTAGGAAAGTTGGAAAACTGTTAAAAAACCATAATAATAAAGAAAAGACTTACCTTACTTTTATAAAATATGAATTTATTTTGCTTGAAGATTTAAGTCTCATTCTCCATAGTTAATGCAGGATTGCTCATACCTTAGAAAACAGAGCATAAATTACCGTGTTTTTATTGTTTTTGAACAACAGGCAGAGTTCACTTATCATCTATAACTAACCCCCAGAATACTTTCAAAGGTGCCGTGTATATATAGTTTGGAAGTTTGTAAGATGATTTATAGAAACACATACACTCACATGTTCTACAGTGTCACAGTACAGTATCATGGGGGGGTGTGCTAAAAATAGAGCTACACAACTAAAGAAGTAGGGAAACAAAATAATAAATGATTCATTGAATTTGGCTTTGGTCACATCTAATTTCCTAATTCTTTTATCTCCTACTATAATCTAGTCAAACCATCCTTAAACCCTTTCTCATTTTGTCCTTCTCATGTTTTCCTCCCTTCTTTTACACCATCCTTTAAAGTTTAGTTTCTCAATTCACCCTTCAAATGGAAAAATTATTCTAAAATGCCAAGTAAGTAACAGTACATAAAAATCAAGAGATCACTTCTGTTAGCGTATGAATCCCTTTTGGAAAAATGAGAGCTCTTTATCCCTGTCTCCCCCAACAATGTTCCCCAACTCCACATCACTTCTTTGCTTCTAATTAAACTGATGGATTTTAAGGGCACAGGTACCATCAAGTTTTGTCTAGGCAATACCTAGTCCTCAACATGGAGGGGAGAGTGAGATGACAGGTTTGATGGGAAAGAGAGAGACCAAATTATGAATACTCAAATTATGAGGATTTTCAAAGGGCATATATATTCTGTAAAAATAAGAACCTTTTAAGAAATCTTGTATTTTAGAAAAATATTATTGATCATGCATTAGATATTTTTTCCATTTTTACTTTTATTAGTACATGTTTGTAGTACATAATGATTACATTCTTTGTGGGGACCTGGCTCACATACATACACATCTTAATTCTTTTTTCATCCCCTCCCCTCCTTTCTCTCCCATCTCCCTCCATTCTTGGTCCCCTTCCTATTTGAGATAGATCTGTCTCCCTACTTTGTATTGTCTTTTATTTTGCTATTTATATTTTGAGTTTCTCACATAAGAGAAAAAATGTGATATTTAAGCTTGTGTGTGATATATTTCACTTAACATGATAGGCTCGAGGTACATTCATTTTCCTACAAATGACTCAAATTTATCCTCATTTAGATCAAGTATTCAATACTGACTAGAAAGTTACTCAGGACTAACTCTTTGCTTTTCTCTATCACTTTAAAGTGCAATAAGCCAAAGCCAGCAGAAGGTGAGTTTGATTAAAAGAAAAAAAAAGACTAGAAGAAAGAAGAAAATATTTGAAGAACTTGTAAAATTAGTCAATCTGGAGATATTTCTAGCTAATAATGCCTGAACTTGGATGTACAGTTTTGTACTCATTTATAGTGACACTACACATGTCTATACACACCTGCATTATAATCACATTATTTTGCTCAATCCCTACTAACCCTGTAAAGTAAGTTTGTTTTTTGGTGGTGGTGGTACCAGAGATCAAACTCAGGACCTTGCGCTTGCAAGACAAGCGTGGTGCCACTGAGCTAAATACCCTGCCCAAATAAGTTTTATTTTAAAGAAAAAGATGCTAAGTCTAAAAAAAGTTAGGCAATATAATAAATATACACTAATAGATGCCCAAATTAGAATTTGTAAACAGGTCTGACTTCAAAGACTTGTTTGTTCTTTGCTAATGCACTGTATTGACTGAAATAATCAAAAGATGAAAATCAACAACAATAAGAAGAGAAATGTAATAAAGATATGAAGAGACTGCAGGCAGGCTAAGTTATGGTAATTATGCAATCACTTTAAACACTTGGAAGCTAGATAGAAGTCTTAGAGTAAAAAACCACAGTATACAATTTAAGATCCTTTCTTTTCAACAGATATTTTTCAACCTTCTATTATGGTTTAGATCTACAATGTACTCCAAAGTCTCACATATTCAGGGGTAGGTTTTTTGGAAAGTGATTTGATCATGGAGATGGCTTTACTCATCAGTGGATTACCCACTGACAAGTTCATAGCTGAAAGTGCTTTTAGGAGGTGGGGTCTAGTAGGAAGTGGGTCACTGAGGGTGTGATATGGAAAGAGGTATTCTTGTTCCTGATTTCTCTCTGCTTTCTGGCCACCATGTAATAAACAGCTTTCCTCTGCTATGTTCTTCCACCATGCTTTTTCTACCTTGGAGCCAGCTAACAATGGACTGAACCCTTTGAAATTGTGAGCCAAAATAGGCCTCTCCTCCTTTAAGATGTGGGTGTTAGGCATTTTGTTCCAGCAATAGAAAAGTGACCAATACATTTTCTTTCTTTTTTTTTTCTGGTACCAGGGATCGAACTGGGGTCCTTGCGCTTGTGAGGCAGGTGGCATAACCACTAAGCTAAATCCCCAGCCCTCAATACATTCTCTGAGTTGGATATATTTCCTCATTTTTATACTTTATATATTGGTATCTTTGAAAAATATACAGTGATAAAAATTTGGTTCTTTAAATTGGTAAAAAAAATTTAGAACTACTTTTTTACAAAATGATTTTCTACTGCTAACAGATAGAAGTTCTCTGAGAATAATTCTACATTTACAATGGGTTTATGACTCCAAAGTAAAAAAAAAAACAACAAATCCCTAGGTAACATATTAGAATTTTTCACCTTTTAAAAATGAAATATATCTAAAAATAGTCAAAGAAGCATACCCTTACCAGCTTTGCCTTTTCCTGGATTTGTGCTGTTCTCTGTCCAAGGCTGAGAATCAGTAAGAAGGTGGCTCTGGGACTCTCTCAATGGCTTTGCAGGAAATTGATGATTTTCAGGACTGATAAATAATAGTTATAATCACAAGTTAAATCTTAGTAGCACTGCTGAATATTTGTCAAAGTATGGAACTAAAAGTACTTGTAATTATAGATTATAGGGTGAATATAGAAGGTACTCAAGATAATCTGGGACTATAAGAATAAAGTATTAAGTGATACTGACTCACAATGAGAAGAGTATTCTATCTTTAGCCTCCTTAAGATGACCTTCTTCAACTCTCAAAAATTTTCATTCCAAATATAGAGAATAGACCTCAGCCTCAGACTTTAGCAGGTAAGGAAATCTAGTTATAACAATAACATTATTTTATTATCAATTTTATATTTTAAGTTATATTCTATGGCAAATTATACTAGTTTCCCATTTATGAGAGTAATACAAAATTTTGTTTAAAGAAGTTTAAATGACAATTTAAAGAAATATATAAAATAAAATTATTAATTTTGTAAATGAAGTGTGAATATGGAAAAAATACAAAGGTGACATTAGAAAGACATGCTTGAAGAAAACTGATCTAGTGTTTTTAAAGTGGCCTAAATTGTCTTGAACAAATAATTCTCTATCTTCCTGTACAAAACCAACAACAAATTTGGACATCTTATAGGAATGTTGAAAACATTTGACATCAGATCTTACAAACCACATGTTTAATTTGGGGAGTGAGTCCTGAATGAATTTCTTTAAAATTCAAGGTTTTTGGTTTTTTTTTTTTGTACTTGAGCTTGCGAGGCAGGTGTGGTGCCACTGAGTTAACATTTAGGTAGACCTACTACATAGCAATATATTGGAATAGAAAAATAAAATAAAATAATATTTCACTTAGGAAAAATTGGCATACAAACTAGTAGTGAAATTTTAGAACACCCTGAAATGGTAATTATAATAATATTTAAAAGAAAAAACACTTTAAATTCTTCAAAAACCAATTTTATGTATTTTAGTTGACTTGTTATATTTTTAAGGTTATAAGGACAAGCTTTTGGTCCTTAATAATTACCTTATATCTGAAAATTTAGAATGCTTTAAATTTTTGCAGCTTTAACAGTTTCCTTACTAAAATGCTGGAGGTAAATACTGAAAAAAAGAGCACATTTCTACACATTTGTGCCCATTCATGTAAAAAATAAATCAGGAAACCCAACAAGACAAAAAAAGCCACTCTTTAATTTTACTTTAATTCTTCTTCTTATTTTTCAAGAGAAGGACAGAGACCTAACAGACTCTAACAAATGACAAAGATACATTCATTAAACAATATTTATTGAAACCTGATATACCAACAAATACTCTTTGTTCTCATGGAAATTTCATTGTAATTGAGAAAAACTAATAAATATATAATAAGTCAGGTGACAATAAGATCTGTAACAATAGAAAAAAAGACAGCACAAGGAGAAGAAGGGGAGCCAGGTTACCGCTTTACATAGGGTTATCAAAAATTGCCTGCAGTGTGAAGTTACACTTAAGCAGAAAGTGAATGAAGGGAAGACAAGGATCATTCAGATATCCGGAGAAAGAACTCTTAGGAAGAGGAATGAGGAATGACAACTACAAGACAACTGGAAAAAGAACTGTTAAAAAGGGAAACTTGCAACTATAAAGCCACTAAATAAAGAAAATGCTTGCTGTATTGAGAAACAGCAAGTTTAGGTGCCTGAGGATTGTAAGTGACAAAAAAGTGATAAGAATGAGGAGTCTCAGGTCTGATCAAACAGTCTTGTAAACTGTGGTAAGGACATTCAGTAACCTTCTAAAGTCTACAGAAGGTGGGAAAACACTGGAGAGGCCTGAGCAGCAGGGTGACATAATTCTAGTTAATTCTTAGTGGAGAAAAATGGAGCTGGGAAAAGCAATTAGGAAACTGTTGAAATTACCTATTTGAGACATGATGGTGGCTTAGAGCAGCAAGGCACCACAGTGGTGGTAAGAAGGTAGTCAGATAATAGATATATTTTGAGGGAAGTTCTAATAGGATTTGCAGGTGGAATAAATACAATACAAGATAACTGATAGAGGAAACTGGGATGATGCCACTGTTTCTGTTTCTCCCTGGCCATCTGGGTGAATGGAGGTCACTAATATTGATACATGGACAAGTAGAGGAGACTCAGAGTTATGTGTATGTATAAATGGCTGTGAATCGAATTCAAAGTTCTGCTTTGATCCTGTTCAGTTGGAAATAACTTTTTAAAAATGTTTTTTTAGTATATGTTTGCAATGCATAATAATTACATTCATTGTGGGGAGTTGGTAACACACATGTCTTCTTTTTATTTCTCCTCCTTCTCCACTCCTTCTTCTCTCCTTCCATCTCTAGATCCCCTTGTCTTTTGCAAAAGATTTATGAGTATGGCTTTTATGTGTTTAGGTGGGTATGCAAATAGACTGGCAGAAAAACACAACTCTAAAGTGCTGACAGCAGGACTAGACAGAAATTTTTTATACACTGAACAAGAGAAATTATAGAACTTTGTAGAAGAAAGAGACTTCAGCTGTCAAAACTTAATGTCAGGCTGGGGATTTAGCTCAATGGTTCCACCATCTGCCTCGCAAGCGGAAGGACCGGAGTTCGATCCCCGGTACCAAAAAAACAAAAACAAAAACAAAACAAACAACCCCCCCCCCCACAAAACCTAATGTCAACATTTAAAGGAAAGAGAAAAGAGGACTAGAAAGGCTAGCTGACTTTAAGATCACTTAGCTAGGTAAAAATAGAGGACCTAAAATTTTTCCCAAACCTCACGACATTCCATGATAAAAGGAGAGATACAATCTCTGAAATCCTCAAGATCTTAAACTAAAAGAAATTTAACAAGGGTAAGAAATATTGTAAACTACTACTAAATTTTATAAAAGCTTGAATACATATCTTAAATAATTTATTAAAACTAGCTTTTTTCTGCATTAAAATATAATGAAATATGTTCACAATTATCTCTGTGGAAATTTCAAGCCAAAACTCGTAGAGCATGACCCAGTAAAAGACCGCGATGTCTTTGAACCTCCCTGTGAAATACATCAGAACGGCCTCTTCACTAACTGGTACAGTCTTGGCTGTATCCAGCTGACTCTAACAATGGAATGCCAAATAGGCTGTATCTCTTTGGACAACTTAAAATGAGTTTGGAATGGATGCCAGGAGAGGATTCTGCTCACTCCAGGACCCAGAGAAAAAAGTACTATGATCCATAAGAAGTGTTTGGTGGAGAAGAGGAGGATCGGGATGGGTCCTGTGTATGAGATACTGCAGCAACTAAGAAAATCTCTAGAATTTAATACCAAATGATTCTACAGTTATGCTTCAGTTATTTGCTTTTATTTAAAAACTAGAAGTAGGATCAAATTCAAATTTGTTGTAAAGATATAAAAATCAGTGTTCAAACCATTGAAAATTCATATATAGCATTTTAAAAGTTTAAGTAATTTTGCCTTTTGCCAGTTAGTAGTAAAGTCAGAATTAAATTTCAGTTCTTTCTGTTGCCATCTTAAACCCTTGATAGAGTAGAATTTTTAAAAGGCTTAAATCTCAAGCAAAAGTCTCTAGACAATGAATTTCCAAGACTCTCTTCTCCATCTTCATAAAAAAGCAGCTCAGAGATGTTTGGAAGTTCTTAAAGAGCACAAAGGATACAGTGCACATTACTAATGGAATTGTCAAACAGGTGTCTGGGGTCCATTTGATCTCCAAAGGCTGATCCAAGAAGTTTTTCTGATCTTTTCAAAAGTTGCCAGAAAGAAAAGCACATGGAGGATTTAAAGGGGAATTTTACCCTGGCTGCTCACTGCAGCAGCGGGGAGCTAATTTTGAATTACAATGCTTTAAGTGCCACATAAAAAAAAAATAATATGTTTCAGTCAACTAAAATATACTGAGACTTAACTCCTGTTTACCCACCTCCTAGACCAGCGGTGGTGAACTTATGGCACATTTTTCTTTTTAAAGAAAAGATGTTAATGTATGATTTGTTTTTCTAAACTAAAACCTCAGTATTCAGGTTTAACTGCAATGTTGGCACTTTGCGATAAGTAAGTGGGTTTTAGGTTGCAATTTGGGCACTCGTCTCTAAAAGGTTCACCATCACTATTCTAGACTATTGATAGATTCTATGACTGTAAATAAAGTTCACTATTTATCCCCCTCCCCATCAGACTCTTCTTCCTTCCTCACTCTAAGTGGAAACTATGGTAGTAAATTATATCATGTTCTTAAAATTTTTTTCAAAGGAATATATAGCCAAAGGACATTATTTGAAAATAAAACAACAATAACAAAACCTCATGGGATTACTTTTTAGCTGTTGAATTCAGTCCTGCAGGAGTAGCTGGTTGTTCAGGATCCTGGTTGACAAGGCAAGTTGGAAAGGAGCAGCCATCACCTAGACTATAATTAAAATAAAAACAGTTGAACCATGAAAAAGACAACATAGTCAAAGTCTGAGAACACAACATGTTATAGGGAAAACATGTGGATCAGACACTGGCTTCAACATACTATTAAGAGAAATAATGGGTTAACTGATTTTCATGTTGATATGAAGGAAGTCAAAGTTATACTTAAAAAGTGGAAGTTACTATGCAGAATTGTAGACTTATAGAACAAGAGACTTTCCCTGAAATTGTCTTTTTTTGATGTACTATAGTTTAAAACCTGAAAAATTTAACAGCAAAATACCTTGAAAAAATGGGTAGCAACCAATACTTCTTCTCATCACCAAAAACTTGTCGCATGTTTTTACTGAAACCCAAGCTAAATCCATTCTTATCAGTTCCATGTCGAAATACTGGACTTCTGAATGCCTCTAAAAAAAATGATAAAGCAATCAGATGTATAAAGCATGTATTTACTAATGATTCCTAATATTTAGGAATATTTGGTTTTCTAAAAAATGATGAATGTTTAAGATTTTTATTACAGTAAAAGATATATTGCCATTAATCTCCTGCAAAATACTCCCTCTTACTTCAAATACATGAATTCCATCATGCCTGCCACTTTCTGAAGCAGTTCTGGAATTTCTCTTTTGTGAATATCTTTAGTTATGCTGTCATGGCTGCCTAAATGCCATGAATCAATTCAAAACATTTATCATTTGTTGATTTTGATTTTGAAGAAGTTCCACAGGTTGCATGGTGCTATATCCAGTGAATAAAGTGGATAAGAACACATTGTATTTTTACGAGCCTGTCTTTCCACTGGATGGCACATAGTACCACATTCACTGTATTTTTTTTTATCACACTTTATAAAGACACTCTCAAAAGTGGACTTCCAGAACTGTTTTGGCAATAGTAAGAATTATGGGATAACTGTGTTTAAAATAAGAGATAGTATTTTGAAGGGGATTAATGGCAATGTATCTTTTAATATAAGTTTTTAAAAATGTCAGTACACATCATATGTTTCAATCAGCCGTTGTAAATAGGTCATGTCATCTGTGGATAGAGCTAGTTTTACTTTTTTTGTTTTGGGTGCCTTTATTTCTTTTGGTTGACCAATTAATCTTGCTAGAATTTGCAGTACAATCCTGAATAGCAGTAAAGGAGGCCATCCTTGTTGTATTCCTGATGTTAGGGGAAGCTTTCAGTTTTTTGATATTATGATATCAGCTGCAGCTTGTCCATCATGCCATTTATTAGGTTGCAGAGGTTCCCTTCTATTCTTAGTTCTCTATGGCTGTGTGTTTTCTTAATTTTGAAAGGGTGTTTGCTTTTGTTAAATACTTGTTTCTTAATTGAGATGATCTTCTGTTTTCTCCTTCATTCTACTAATGCATTATGCTACCACTGATTGATATTGAGGCATCAAACCACCTTGTATTCCTAGGATAAATCCCATTTGATCATAGGTTATAATTCACTCAATATGCTGATGGATTTGGTATGCTAGTGCTTTTGTTAAGGACTGCTGCATCCATACTCATAATGGATATTGGTCTGTTGTTTTCTTGTCGGGTCTTTGGGTTTTGTGTCAAGACAATATCGGCCTCAAAATGAATTAGGAAGTATTGCATTCTTTTCTAATTTATGGCAGAGTTTGAGAAGAATTAGGGGTTAACAATTTAAATACTTGGTATAATTCAACAGTGAAACTATCTTGTGCTGGGCTCTTCTTTGTTGTGAGGTTTTTATTACTAATTCAATCTCGTTACTTGTTATAGATCTGTTGTGATTTCCTATTTTTTCTTGAATCAGTTTGGTGGTTTCCAGCAACTTGTCCATCCTAATTTTTGGATATAGTGGTAGCTTGGTTCATGAACACTTTTGTTTGTGAACAGTTTGGTTCACAAACAAACAAAAGCGTTTGGCAAAATTTTTTGTTTGCAAACTCTACATCAGTTGACAAACATGATCGCGGCCATCTTTTCCAAAATCACAGAACAAATTAAGTTCATGAACCAAGGTACCACTGTACAACAGATCATAGTATTCTCTTAAAATCCTTTTTATTTCTGTAAAGTCAGTAGTAATGTCCTCATTTTTATTTCTGACTCTTGTGAAGAATTTTTACATATTTTTTTCTAGCTAATCTTTGTCAAATTTTCTGGTATCTTAAAAGAGAGATTGTCTCTTATCTTTATTATTTCCTTCTTATGGCTGGCTTTGGTTTTACTTTGCTCTTCTTTTTCTGGTTCTGTAAGTTGTAAATTATTGATTGAGATATTTCTTCTTTTTTTAAAATAGGGGCATTTACAGCAACACAATTCCTTCTAAATCTACTTTTCTGCATCCCATAATTGTAGGGCTTTTGAGGGTGTTGCTTTTTCTATCTAAAAGGTTCTGGCTCTTTCCATGGCTGACTTCTTATGCTAAGTTCTTTTTGTTGAGGTGAGGTCTTCTCTGGCAACTCATTCTAAACAGGTACTTTTTATCATGCCCGCTCCTTTATTCATACTTCAGCATGCTCTGTTTCATTCAAAATACTCTGCATTTCATAACTACTTTTACATTTTGTTTTAAATTTGTGTGCCCCTCAATACACTGTTTTCCCCTTGCTTACCACTGTACATACATAATGCTTTGCACACGATGATGACCAGTAAATACATGGAATGTAGGAATTTACATGTGTCTAAGTGACATTCCACAATAAAATGAGGAAATAACAATGATCTTTACCACTTCAGGACAGGCTAACATTTAATCATACAGCAACTGTCACTGAATATCTGTGTATTTAAGGTTCTGTCAACTACAATAGTTGGATACTCACCTAATGTAGATTTATTTTTGCTGACTAGCCAACAATGATAGCCAAACAGAGAAGACAAGCTGACAGAAAACATAGCTGCAGCAAAGAATAAAAACATAATATGGAACTTGGCTTGAGTATCAGGTAGGCCATTCTATAAAGGAAAAAAATGAAATGCTTTGTCAAAGGGATAAGTATTCCCCTACTTTTATAAGTAAATTTGTACATTATTTTGCCTAAAATTTTTTATTAAATTTAGATATGGAAAAAAGACACAGTTTCATGTTAAAATATTAGGAATATATATATCTATACAGATATATATAGATCTCAAGCACATACATGTCATCATATTAAGTGTTTACTAGGATATGAATATATAACTGGAAAAGGTTAAAATTTGGGCTATTTATTATATTTTATATAACTAAATTATAGAAGAACTATGTTTGCTTAGTATAAAATGTAACAGTAGGAGGCAAGATAAAAGGAACTATAACATGTAGTTTTAAATTTACTATTTGGAAAAAAAAATTTATTATTTGGACATGTTTTGTTAACATATTTAAGATTCACATATTTTTAAATAGTTTTATTATAATGCCAGAAAATGAAAGTTAATTGGCCTAATTTGGTTGCTAATCTCACTAATGTTTTATATTACTACAAACAACAGCATCAGCTAAGAGAATACATACAGCAACACATCCACAATAATGTTTTGAACTCTTTTAAATGATAGCATCTAGAAAAAGACCAACATTACTGTAGCGAATAACACCTGTTTAAAGTAGACTTTATAATACCCGTGAGTTGAAACAGACCTCTTCAAAGCAAGTATGACCCTTACATTTTATCTAGGGAGACCTGGACTGCAGGGCGTGGGACTGGAATGGACACTGAGTGAAGCACCTGACCTGACAGGGAGAGGCCACACCTGATAGAAAGTCATGGTGTTTCAATTCCCTGTAGTACCTTTCCGACTGACACAGGACACAAGATCTTACTGGTAGCTTTTGGCAGCAAGTGTGCCCAATGGAAACTCTGCTCATTCCTTTTCAAATATATATATGTGGTTTGGAATGAAAACCATCCACAAGAATGAGGAGCAGTGAAGTAATAGTCTCCATGCATTCATTAGGGATCACACACTTCAAGCTGGAAACTGGAAGTATCTCTGAACCCTAGGCATATAGCCATTCACCTGTGTATTCTAGATCTTAGCAATGCAACTGGCACAAAGTAAAGATCTGACAACTCTGTGGTATCAAATTTGACTCAAATCTTACATAAATAATCTAGCAATTCAGTCTTACCATAATAAAAGATAATTTAATGAAAATGAGAAAGTAATCTTGGCAAAGGATAAATGGCTTTTTAACCATCATTTGGTGTTTGCAATGACTATCATAGGTTATTTATGATTCCCTACTTTAATATTGCTTTGCCTTTACCTAAAAATACAGTGCTGAAAATATATGAGTTAACTAAAGCCTAATCAAGCAACATCTAAGAAAAATTCAAGGTGTTGCAGATATAACAGCTTTTAAAGTAATCTTATACATAAAGAGAAAACACTTCTTTTAAATACTGAAAAAATCCGTTTATATAGTCAATTCTCATTATTCTCAGAGGTTATGTTCTATAAGTTTGCCATGAACACTGAATTTGTGAATACTTTTGTGAACCACCGTTCCTAAGGAAAATATAGGATTAGGTTCCTGCAAGTGTCTTGTCACATCTGATCAACTGATCAATTCACAACCCTGTTTTATATGACTTTTTGCTCAAGGATGCCTTATTTAATGTATGGTGTTGATACATTAATATGAAACTCATGGCCAGGCCCTATAACTCATGCCTGAATGAAGCTTATTTATCACATGTATTTCCTCCATCAGACACACCAGTATTGTTTAGAAACACTAGGGACCACCTCAGCATTATGTCTAAAGACCATTTTCAACAACAAAATCAACAAAAAGCACAAAAATCAAAACAAGGCACCAAACAGACTATGAAGAGCATACTTGTTTATAGTACGGGAGCTAAAACAAGAAGGCGGAGCACTGCCTTGTTTTACCTCCACCAGGAATGTGCACCTAAAGCACTCAATTATTTTGCCAATCTGAACACATCTGAAGGCTGTCATAAGCTCTGTGAAGACTGATTTGGAGGCTACAGATAAGTTTTGAAGACGATGAATTAACAAATACAAAATGTGCAAATAATGAGGACTGACTACATAAATTAGCTTGGTTCTATAAAGTCAGTGTCTGAAATAATTCACTGATGAAAATTTATATTATATATTCTCGTATACTTAACATAAGGTACTAAAATAATGACTTACTGTCCAAAATTTGATAAAATACTGTAAATCTGTAGCAGCAATAAAAAGGCAGTACAGCAGAGAGTAAGCCAAGAAAAGAAGGAAGAATTTATAATTTGAAAATCCAACACAATTGTTCACCCTGCCAATGAAACAAAAACAGTCTTAATGAATTATACAACCTTAACATAGGTATAAATATACTCAAAATTAACATGGCATTTAGTTTTAAATTTATTGGCATTTTTAAAAGTATAAGGCATAAAAGCTATACATGCAAACAATAAAAAATCAATTTCACTGAGAAGTAATCTCTATGTTTGTTGTTCAATATATGATATTTAATATTGTAAATATATGATATTTAATATTGTAATATTGTATTTAATCAACCATAATTAATGTAACTACATTTCATGTCCAATTATAAAAGTAAGCAGATACCTAATAGCACAGAGCTTGTGCGATATCTAATAGAATCAGGCAGGTTAGAGAAATTCACTAAATCCTTCCTCTATGTTATCTTTGGGTTCAATTTCCAACTACAATTAAGTAAGTTAAAGTGTATTAAGTTTATCCAAATTAGATGAACCACCTTCACATATATCTCCTTGTATTACTGAAGATTGTCAAAGCATATTAAATGGGAGGTTTCAGAAAAGAAACAGTACTAGAAGCCAGACAGACAGTTATAATGAACATTTGACACTAATTATGTGGCCCCAGACATTAGATAATTATGTGGTCCCAAGGAAGTGAAATAGTCTCTTAGGATTTCATTTTCCTTACCTGTAAAATAAGGACTTTGAGATGGTTTCTGAAATCCAGCTCTCTATTCTGTGATACCAAATATGGAAATTTATAAATTCTAACTTTAAAGTTATTATATGCTAAGGCAAGGGATGGTAGAATTTCAACTATCATATCAATAAATACAAACATTAAAAACTCATTTTATGGTCACTCTCAAAATTTTTTCCTTTTCACAAAGGCAAGGGCATTACTTGATGACCTTGCATACTTGTGATGCAGTGGCACTGTAGAGTTGGCTGATATGGTCACTACTGAATGAACACATTGTTATCCGGTATAATGAAGCTACTGCATAAAATGTACTCATACTGTTTCCTTGTCTTAAATGTCTTGTCTCCACTCTAGTGTTTGTAAAATAATCTCTATTGACTTTAGTAACAAAAAGAAACATTTTTCTTTCTAGGTTTTTAAGACAAAACCATGTTTGTATGAAAAAATGGTTACATTTTATGCCCCCCAAATTATAAAGGGAACAACATTAGATTTAGTAATTTTTGGACTTAAAGGTCTTGTTTATGGGAAAAGAATTCATAAAGATGCCAAAATTTGTGGGTGTACATTGTATGAAAACAGCTGTATTAGCAGCTCTGGAAGTTCCAGGAGGAATGCAAGCCAATTGTTGAGATTGCTTTTTATAGCACTGGAATAAAAAAATGGCAAGAAATATTGGGGAAATAGTATGAGCCGAGTCTAAATTGTAATTTGTCTCAAAAGAACACAGGATATTGTCTTTATCTGTGTAGTTTCAAGAAGAAAGAATGGGTAGATGAAAGTGCTAGAAGACTCTGGACAGTTAGGTGTAAACAGAGACTGTTGTGGACTAGGGAAAATTGAAATGGATAGTGCAGAGTGCTTCTATTCCTACACAAATGTAAGAAGCAGATTTTGTTTTAAATGATGATGAGGTAATTTGCCTTGTCGGACTAGGAAACATAGGAGAATGTCAATAAATAAAGATCAAATATTTTAGTTTGATATGTACATAGAAAAATGTTTTGATAGGTTTTTTATTAGAGGAAATAGAGCAGTATTATTTATTTTCAGTAATAGTTTATGCTCTTCATAATAGGCAGCTTTGGGTTACATTTTTAAATGCCTACTGCTTTGTCAATTTGACAAAGAAAAAAACTCATCCTGAGTCTGAGCTTCCTCTATCTGGAAAAAGAATGACTTCATATAAAGAAACAAGCAACATTTGAGATAGAAAATCCCTCTCATGTTGTTTTTAGTGTAGAGCAAAGCTGTTGGCTCTGTTCCAGGCAAATCGTTTTCTGAGTCTAAACTAGAAAACATAATATATTAGGGAAAGTGTACCCTTTCAAAGCCAAAAAAACTGGCCATGTGATTTTGAACCCATTCTTCAACTTTTCTGAGGCTCATTTCCCTCTTCTCTAAACTAGGACAAATCATTTCTATTTCTTCTGTTTTTTTTTTATTTTCACAAGGATCTAGATGTTTGCTCTCTACAATGCAGTAGGCACTCAATAAATTGAAGCTAAGATTATTTACTTTTAGATGTGTTACTTAGTCTTTGGTAAGTGTGTGAAAGTACTACTGATATAATTAATTAAAAATTAAATTAAAAGTTTATAGTAAAAGAAAAAACACTTCTCCAATAGAAAGCCCAATGAAAAAAAGAAAAAAGAAATAGAGAAAAAAAGAAAAAAAAAGCCCAATGAAGTAAATACTACAGAAACACTTTAAAGTAACAAGTATAAGATTAATTTCCTGAATCCTGATATATAATTTTAACTGAGCTAAGCTCACTGAAAATACAGAGACACTTTTTAACCCAATATTTCAAATGCTCAAAGTTGACAGGGATTTATGTTCAAAACCATATATAAGACCCATATAAAATGACTGCCTCAAGGTTTGGGAATGTCCTAATGCCCTTTAATAAATACATCCATATAATAGCTGTAAAAATACTTTTTATTTATTAACATGGAAACAATTCAGGATATACTAAGTGAAAGAGGTAACCCAGACACCATATTCAGTCTATAGCATAGTCACTTGTGTTTAAAATAGGGACAGACAGACAGACACAGACTGGCAGAGATACACAGACACACACCTGCACACATACACACATTTAGACCCGAACAGTGCTTATGACGATAGTATTGGTTCTCTGTAAGTGGGGAAGAAAGAAAGGGAGGGTGGGCTAGAAAAATATGTTGATTTTGGAGTTTAGAACCACAAGTATGTATAGGTATAAATTTAAAAGTATCCTCTTGGGGTAGGAGCCAGGGCCTCATGCATGCTAAGCATATACACACAGCCTCGGAACTATACCTCCAGCCTTATACATATTTTAACTTAAAATTTCAATTTGAATTTTTTTAAAAGGGCTGTTTCATTCAGCTGGCTGGTACCAGTTGAATATTAGGCTCTTGGCATCAAACCCTTCACAAAATGACATGGCTACAGTTTTCTGTAGGAAGTGGCTGGAGCTGAGATGGTGGTGGGGTTGGGGGTTGTAGCATGAGAAATGACTGTGCAGTAAGCAGTCAGTTCATTAAACTTCTCCCACACTGCCACTAAAAGGTGAGTGCGATACAGTATGTAGGTATGACTACAGGTATTTAAAAGGCTCTGGAGTCTTACACCTGTTTCCTTTCATTTATTTAATAGGATCTGTCAAAATCTGAAAGACTGTCAAATTATCCTGTAAATTTCTGATTCAGCCAGATTAACTGCAGGTTTAGAGAGATTGCTATAATGGTGAATCATTACCTCCTATTTTTGTAATGGTGAGTATAACAAGTACATGACAAGTTTTATAGGTATATATTGGTTTGGGATAAATACGGATTATTCCCACTTCCCCCTTCCTTATCTTTTATTAAATTGAAAAAACTGGAGTCAACTATATGCCACTTATTATTTTACCACTGCTAAATATATCTTGAGTCCACAGCAACCCAGAACAGACAATGGTTAATATGAGTTTCCCTCAAAGCAGACCTCTAGACCAGAAGTCTGATACAGTTTGATACAAAAGGAGGGGCCAGGAACATAGCTCAGTGGGTGTGTGTTTGTCTAACACGCATGCTACCCTGGGCTCAATTCACCAAAAATTAAAAAATAAATATTTTTAAAATGAAGAAACAAAAGGGAGAGATGCCAATAAAGTATGTGTTACTGGCTAGGCCCTCACTGGTTGAGGGGCCCTAGAAGTGTTAATGCTTTGGCATTTCTGGACTGCCCAGCTTCTGAGCTGAACAAACCTATCCAGGTAGAAGAGACCCATCAGATGGAGAAGCAAAGAAACACAGGTATCTAGAAAGAGGGGCTGTTATAAATCATAGAGTTGTTCACTACAGTGTGTGAACTCACAGGTGGGTCATGAGATGTGGGCAGGGGAATAGAAGGAGGATTAAGAAAACTTACAGTCAAAGATACTGACAGGAACAGTTGCTGAGAGAAAGAAAAAAACAAAGAGCAAAAGAATGAATGCAAATGTAAATTAGCACAAAGGAAGTTTATTTACAGAGATTTTTCTTTAAGGAGAACATTATTCTTATAGGAGTTGACTAGTCTTAACACTTCAAAGGAAGAAATCTAGGTGAAGGAAAAGAAGCGGGTATACTGGTGAGAAGTCTAGAATACTACAGACTCTACATTCTCCTACTGTTCCTGCTAAAAGACTCATTCCCTATACAAATTTTCAGCTATGTCTACTGTAGATTTGTGGGTATGAATATATTTCCTCTGTGCTATCATTGAAAGAAGATAAGATTTCTGGAATAAATATGATTAATGTCCAAAGCAGCCTGGCCAGCAACCTTAGCATGGCTGTGACAATTGTGTACACTGAGATGAAAAATTATAAGGAAAATCAGGAAGACCCACCTGCATTAATTAGATCACTCAAATAATCTTCTATTAAGTTGCCTAATCTGATTTAGAAGTACTTGAAAACATTAATAAATTCTAAGTGGAGAGTCTTGTTTAAATGTATCTGGGTAGTTGTGTATTTGCTATTCTATTCCTAAAAGTGTTGTCATTTTATTCAAAATAAATTATCAATGCCCAGGAGGAGGCTCCTGGGCCACCATAGCACCACTCCCAGTGCAGAGGAGGTGAGTGGCATGGGCACCAGCAGCATGCCTCACCCCCCACCACCCGTGGAGATGAGAAGACAGGTAAACAAGCCTCAAAACCAGACTTCCAGATCACCTACAGCAACACCAAAGGGAAACGAGATGAAACAATCTGATACTCAACCACCTGGACTCCCTGAACTGGCAACAAAAGAGGATCTGGAAAAAATGAAATCTGAAATAATTTCTC